CGGGATACGCCCAGAGTCACGGAACGGATTAAGTTCGTATCCCGAGGTACCACTGTAATTGCCTCCTGGTTTCTGGGTGCCATTCAAAGAACTGGTTATAACCAATAAAACTCTGCATGATTCGGGAACAATTTATGTAAAATACCATATTTTCCCTTACGACATGGTCAGGCTTTCAGATCTGCAGGAGAGGTTCTTCTCCAAGTCCCTCCCATGGAGAACTCATGCTCGAAGGCTCTCACAGTTGCTGTGTCTAAGTCCTGAAACTCCTTCAAAAAGGAGACAAAGCTAGGTTCCCTTCCTGTTACTGGTTTGCTGGCAGATTAAAAAAAAAAAAATTAGAAAGCCTTTTGTATTAAAGAATTATTTGTTTTATTATAACTCTAATTGGATTTTAATAATGTTTTGCATATTCTTTTTAATGCTTTGTTTCTTATTCTACTATTCAATATTTTGTGATGGAAAGTGGAGTATCATTTGAATAGACAAATGTATCTATCTTCAGATGTATAGTCATAGACACTTGTGTAACCTCACAGAATGTCAGTGTTTTCATGGAGGAATTAGAAAAAAGCTTCCTCAACTTTGGTGTCCAACCTCCCTTTTTCTACACAAGATCTTTATTATCTGAACCCATGAATAGGATGATTTGGCAAAGTCCTATTGGGACTTCATTAACTTTAACCCAAAAAATTTGTCTATTCTAGTCAGTTAATGAGATTCACATTATGGGCACTACTCTGAAATTAGACAATAGACATAAAATGGGTAATTCAATATTAAGCATCAGCTGACTCTTGTGCATAGTAAAAACCTTCCAGCTTCCACTCAGAACACAACAAAAATGCGTTATCAAGAATCTATCAATCTGTAACAGCTTAACTTTAACAAACTAATACCTTACATAGGCAGGATTCCAATTCAGTGTGATTGGGCAATGGGTAGTAATGAAGGTCAAGTAGCACAGTGAAAAAATGGGACTAAGATTAAATGTAAAGAAGACCAAACTAATGATAACAGATACAGCAACCAGACTTAGAACTGACAATGAAAATATTGAAGTGGTGGATACCTTCTACCCTTTAGGATTGACTACCAACAGTCAAGGAAATAACAGTCAAGAAATATACCACAGACTAGAACTTGGGAAGGTAGGAATGACGGATTAATGTTTAAGGGGTTAATACTGAGTTTCTATTGATATATTTATATTAGACTTTATTTTTTAAGACTGGGTTTTAAAATACAAAATGAGGAGTTGAAACTCATTTTTTAAAAAGGTGAATTTTAAAACATGATGTGACTTGTTAAAGAAAGTACTTTACTATGTGAATAAAAATCCAGAACATGAATGGTTATTAAACAGTGTTAGCATTTACTTCAAACTAATCTGTGTACTATAGGCTGTGTACTACCACAACTAGGAACATTTTGATATTTTCATATTGGATGGAATTTTAATCATTTGTATGCAAACATGCATACAAAGATAAGTAAAATATAAAGCTAACTTTTCTAGGGACGATTATGGTCCATTTTCAATTTGCCTGAAACTATTAAGCAACATTAACAAATTACTGACAGTACGTAAATTCTGCAGAATTAGAAAATAGCTACTATCCAGCATTCCAGCATGTTATGCATTCTCTGTATAAAAAGAAATCCTAATCAATAAAATGTATTCACAAAATAATTGAACTGATTTTTAAACAGGGAGTAACTTTGCTATTTAGCAAAGTTAAGTTCAGAGAGTTTCCTGACATAAATATCTTTATAGATAGATAAAGCAAAATTCTATTAAAAAGGACATTCATTACAGGAATATAGAAGTTACTTCAGGTTAAAAAAAAAAAAGAGCAACTAATTAGAAGTATGTAGAAGTCCAAGGCTTCACCCTTAAGATACCCAAAGAACAATATACAGACAAGAACAAACCTGGGGAACATCTACAAGTTGTATTTGTTAGAAAACTAACTTCTCTATAGTAGCAAAAAGTGTACATGAACTTTATTTCAAAAGCAATGTAAAGATTTCTCTTACAATTATTTTGTGTGAAAAAATATATTTTTTAAGAGAAAAAGCAAATGGAAAGGTTGCGATTCATCCTATGTGTCTTCAGGGCCACCACAGATTTTTTTTTTTTTAAGATCATTTTTATAAGAATAGGAAAATCAAAAATTGCATGATTTCATGCATGATGTCAAACTTGTGTCCATTAATTCTTTTACAGAAGGTTCGTCCTGTTTGTCCTAGATGGAATCCAGAGGGGCATTGCTGGCAGGGTCTAGATAACATGTTAATATCGTTGTTCTGTTCACATGCTCTAATGTGATATATGTGATCATCTGCCAGCAATGCCACCCTGGATTCTATATAGTATAAACAATACAAACTTTGGGCCACAAAATGAATGGATATAAGTTTGACATCAGAATTCAAAATAAGGACAAAGTAATATTAGAACATTTCAACCTCCCAGGACACTCCATTACAGATTTCAAATAGCCACCTTGGGGAGAAAAAAAAAACTTTGCAGCATGACTGAAAGACAAAATGCTGAACTCACATACATTGAAAGGTTTCAAGTTATCTTCCAAGACTCACCAACGCAATGGGTTTTTAACATATTACAACTGTTAATTGATAAGGTACCTATAACTTGACTCACATGTAAGCTGCATTTACACATCCTTCCTGTCTTCCACTCCTCCCCCTGACTCATCTCAATTTAAACTCTTCAGTAATTTAGCCACTCCATCTCTCTGACAAAATGTGCTACGGCTCACAAACATCTATGTCTTTTAATAAAATCTGCTAGTCTGAAAAGGTGCTATCAGGCTTCTTCTAATTTTTGGCTATCACAGATTAATACGGCTCTCTTCCTACAATGCATTCTTTCTATGTTTCTCTGAGTTCAGTGTGAGCTTAGAGATGTTCCCTACGTAATATAGTGAAGGTCATATTATACCATTAAGGAGGTTTCCAATAGTTAAAATAAGCAAGGATAATGACAGACACACTCAAGAATACAACTCCCATCTCAGAATTTTTTTTTCAGTGTTTTAAAACTGAACTGATAATAAAATGAATATGGATTAAAACTGGCTAATTTCATTGTTTTGGCACTATTCCTGATGCTTTCAAATAGAGTCGTTATTTTAACTGACTTAGGACTTTTTTCAATTTTCCCCTTGGAAACAAAAATTCTTAGCACCATTTAATGAAGTAGAGAATAATCTATATGCAAACTTCTCTCTCCACACCTTGGAACTGAACCTGTCTCTCAAATGGCTAGGTGCATTAAAACACTGTTTTATTACTACATGAAATATAAAATTAGTCATCCCACTGTTTCCACCGGAAATGAAAAAACTCTCTTTATTAAGGATTCATTTTTGGCACATTTGAAAAATAACGTAATGGCCTTTTCAATACAAGAGACTCCTTTTTTGAGCCAACAGCATTTTTTGTAGCTGTAAAACTTCTACTGGCAAATGCAAGAGATAGGGATTACAATTAGGATGTCAAACCTTGCTGACTCCACTTTAAAATTGTTTCATTGCCAGAAAAATCAGGCACTAGCAATTATAAGAACTGAAAAAGGAGAGGATACTTTGCTAATTGGAATGTATCATAGTTGCAACTGAATAATGAGTAAACCTACAAATGTGCTCTTCTGTGATCTTCTCAAGTTCCCAGTAGACTAAACACATATGTGAGTAAAGGCAAGATCAGGTTAGCTTTATACCTATGAGACTTTGGAAAGTAGCAGGTTACAATGTAGACACTGGCAAACATAAAGCAGTTATTTTCTTAGCTGTAAGCACACTGAATTCCAATATTTTAGCATTATTGAGTATGCATGGCTGCTATCAAAAGCATCAGCTCTCTCTCTTCTCTCTCTTCCTGGAAAATGTCAACCAACACTAAACACATGCCATTCTCTCTTGAATTTCCCTACCCCTAACTTAACTAGCAGCCAGTGAATGGGGATGACAAACTCACAATGCAATGATGTCACACACGTATGTTGCGCAACACAGACCTTATAGAGGACAGAACAGCAGTCTTTGATGGCGCTTTGTAATACTTAGTCATTGCCATAATCTTGACTGGATTCTACGTGCCAAAGAGAAATTAAGGTGGGATAGATAAGTTCAAATGGATAACTCAGTCAGACATAACAGAGCTTGGAAAAAGAAAATGTTCTGATTCAACAAAAATTAATAAGAACAGTTCCTAATAAACTGGACTGATCTTCTAAGCCTAAGATTTATGATTAATCATTTCATTGCAGAATTATCAATCCACAAACAGCAGAAAGACTGGCAGACATTCAGCTGGTAAATGACTATGCCAAAAGCACTTTCCTGAACAGAGGGACTTCCTCTACTTTTAAGAGTAAGTGAAACTGAACAATACCTCTGCATAATTTGCATTAAGTACAGGACATAAGCACAAATCAGCAAGCAGCAGCATAAAAACAGTTTTAGGAAAAGACCCAAAGGTTAAATATTTGCCCAAATAATAATTATTTCTATCCCTCAGTACATATCTGGAAGTTAATTTTACAAAATATTATTGAAACAACAGTCTAGTGGGGAATAGCATTTGTTCCTAGTCATGAAATCTGAAGATTGGTGGAGAAGAACTGCTGGTATATCAATCAGGCCGATACTTACAGTGAATTTGGCCGGTTGGGTTTTATAACTTCTGCATCAGATTCAACTGAGTTCTTGTTAGGCTGAACAGTATTACTGGACTGGAGGAAGCTATTAATGTTTGATGATGATATGACTGATTCCAGGCTGGAGTTAATTATACTGTTTCTGTTCTCCTCTGAAAGAAAAACCAAAACGAACTGATACTGTGACATGACTTTTATTAAGATTTTTTTTTTTAAAGAAAGAAAGTTGGAATTTCTGAAAACATATTTATTAGAATTTCTACACTAAGTTGAAAAATGTTGTGTTATACTATTTGTGCTCTTATTTCTGCATTAAGGCTGCTCAGTTTTTGCTCCTTCCTCTAAAACTACTTAGCTGAAACATTTCATGCTTTAAGGATTTTCTTCTTTGTGCAGGGATTTTAAAAAAAATAATCCTACTCTCACAATACTCCTGCCTCTTCCTCAAGAATGATGCATTCCACATGGCAAATTATTTAGGGTAGTAGAGAGTTGACAGTAATGGTGAGTTATGGTCCCTGTTACAGTTCTAGAGCCCCAGAATACATTTCAAAACAAATGAGAGTTTGTTATTTTTATACACAAAGGAGAGTAGACGTATACCTTTTTTTCTTAATAGTATTCACTGGATGCATTCGGTCCAGTGAATCTGTTCTAGCTTTATGACTCAATATATGGTCACAGACTCAAGGCTTCTGCTACTAAGTTCCATTGTCTTAAGAATAAGGAATTTGTAGTTAAAAATGAAATCTACAGTTTACATTTCATAAAAGACAAGAAGTCTTTTTCATACTTCTAAAATGGAATGGATTTCATTCTTATATTGTAGTTAGTCTGAGCAGAATGTTCTGTTAAGTAGTGACTACTGTTCCCACTTATGTAATATTCACAATGTACTGGTAAGTATTAACTATTATTATTACCACCACAAAATGAAGATGCTACTATTAACTTTCCCAAGTTCTCTGGAGTCTCTTAATTATGGTATCTTTTCAGAAGAATGATCCAGTAGGATGGGATAGGATGGGAGAGATCTGCTGTTCTTTAGAAACTGCTGAAGTAGAGTTACCAGCATCTAGCATAACTGACTATGCTGGCTGGGGTGCTGTCATTTACAATTCAGTAGCATCTGACTCCGAAGGGCCTCTGGCTCAAGCTTTCTGGAGCAGATAACTGTAGTACCTGGCAGTAGCTTCCTCTGTCTATCACAAGACACCTACCTCCAAAGATGCCATAGGGATGACTAGCAGGAATCTGTAAGAAGGATGGTCAAGCAAAGCAGTCATTTGCTTGCCTTTATTTTACAATTCTTAAACTTTCCTCTGAAATTAGGAAAACTTTTAAAATTATCATTGCTAGTCCCTCTAGCAGAAAAGCAATGTTTAAATCATATAAATAGCTAAATGAGAACATTATTTATATTATATAAATATCATATAAAATTATTATTATTTCCAGCTAAATAATAATTTCCAAATACCATGCTATCTGATACCTGTAAAATGTGTGTTTTACTCAGGTTTTTTTAACCTTTACAGATATTTACACCTCTGTCCTGTTTTATGGGACATCATAAGAGGGAACTGGTAATTGGATCAGTGTTTTCAAAGAGATATGCATGGTCAATGGCCGACTACGAATTCTACAAGTGATGGTCGAGCATATCTGAAGAATACTACATTAGGAAAGGCTGACTTAAATATAAGAAGGCTGTTTGAATACAATACTTGCATTTTTAAAGTAACCATTCCACTATATGACAATCAGCCAAGGATGACTCCTACTTAAGACCAATTAAGCAATAAAGAGATTGAAGATCTCTATCCATTTATTGTTCATTTTTGTTATTTATATTAAATTGCGAAGTAAGCAGCAAAGGGGAAGATGATTGTCTAAATACCATTATACCTAACTTCTTTTCATGCAAAATAGCCTAAAATGGTCATCTAAGAGTCCGTTATGACTGAACTTCACATGCAAAAGAGAGAATTGTGCATGGAATGCTTTTCAAAAAGAAAGCAAACCTGTGTGCCTTCTAGAGACAGAAAGTTCTAGTTGTGTAAAGGGAAAAGAAAAACTGGAGAACTTAATCATCCAGTTGGAGCCTCCCAATGGTAATACTTTCTAACAGTAAGTTTTATATCCCTTCTTTGCCTCTCTATTTGCCTTCTTTTCTCTAAGTATTAAATCATCATCATCAACGAGCACACACACATTAGTCTGGCATCGAGTTTGCTCAGCTTGATTGCAACTTGAGTTAAGGTTACTTATATGCAAACAGCACCATATCTACTTGATGGGTGGAATTACGTGAACCTAGCTAAAGGCATGGAACAAAGTAATGGGAGAATGGAAAGCTGCTGAAGTCATAAATCTCATACTGGCATTGATAACAGTTTTTTTAAACCAGGAAGGGAAGAAAGCCAAGATACTTTACAAGCCTAATTTCTTCTCTTTATTAACGGCATTCCCAAATTATGTAGATTATGCAAAGTGCAACATAATGCTCAGCACAAGGAATGAAGATACTTACGCTTTTCATTGTGCTGCAGTGTATGGAAAAGCGTTAAGGGCCTCTCACTGCATGAGGGTGGCTTTGAATCTGTACTCCTTTTTCGAGACAACAGCAGTTGAGAATTTGACTGTAGACTATCAGGCACTGTGTTAAATATCTATTATTTTTTGAACAAAGAAAAGAGAATTTGAAATAGTTAGAAACGTGACATGAGAAAGGGGCAACTTGTATTAAAACCTAAAGAACTGTGTGCAGAAGCGGTAACCCTAAAAAAATGGCTGTAACGAACAGTAAAATGATGTGATAAAAGAAAGAGAAAATGTTTTTTAGATTAACCATTCAACAATATTCATTACGTTTTTGCTATTTTTGAGGTAAGTCTAACACTAAACTCCTCTGAGATTATCTAGCTTTTGTGATTACGCAGACAATGTAATGACCTGCACACTAATTATCCTGGCAATCCATATCAGACTACAATTCAGCCAGTAGTTCTTAGAGGCAAAAAATTTCAATCTGCAACTTCTTTGCTGACACAGCTGATTCAAATGCTGCACGCAAATCTTCAAAGGGAAGTAAGTAAATTTATGATGAGAATATGCACTGATTTGTTGAAAAGGTACAAAGCTATTAATTAATAATCTCACTGGACTGACAATATTCTAAACCACTCTTCTTCTTTTCAATTAGCTTTAAAGATTAAATCACCTCTTGGGATTAAACAAAACTGGGAATTAAGCAAAACCTCTTCCTGGGAGGAAAAAAAGAGCCCTGATCTTTGTGAACCGTATCGAGGATTTACTGTACATTTGCATAATTTTAACCATGATGGATTTCTAAGTTTTTTCTTTGAGCTGAAACTACTTCTGATGCTTCCCAAAGTATCATTCCTTTGGATCTTTTTTCCCCCACAAACCGTATTCTAAAGGGAACCATGACAGCTTAAATAAAGCAGCTTAAGCTGGTACAAAATTATTCATTCCAATTAAACTGGTGATTCATTCAATGTCACACCCACATTATTTTTTCCTTAAGCAGGAGGGAAACTTTTTTTTCCACTATGTAATTTCTGTTATGAGTGGTCTGGGACTTCAGAATTTCCTCAGTGAAAGGATAGAGAAATCCAAACATTACATCTCTTAATCAGTAAAAATGTTCATGACGAGAACACGGACTGGCAGGCTCCAAGAGACAAGCCTATTACTTCTTGTCTCTTCCCAGTGTTCTGTGCAGCTGACAGCTGCTAAATATTCACTGGAATTAGAAAACATTTGTAAACAATCACTTTTTTAAAACACGGAACATGCACAATTCAAATATAAATTACCTTTTCATGGTTTTCTATTAAAATCTCAACCACAATATTTTGGAACTTGATATCCATAATTGCAGCAACAGTTTCTTCTTGTGGTCGCATTAATGTTGGTCCAAAAACAACTCCCAGATTTGCGACAGTCATAAGATTCTGTTCATGGTTTTTAGCAACACTGTAATGAAACAAATATAATAGATTTTCAACAGGCCCAGCAAATCTAAACACTAGCCCATTTTTAAAAATAAGTTTGGAACCTACAATGCTTTTTGAGTTTCTGCAGAGCCATACTCTACTATTTTGATTTTTAATAGCAAAGCCAATAAAAAGTCAATGTATGCTATTGATAACACTCCTATACAGGTCTATAAACCCATGTACAGTTCAAGGAATCCAAATTGCAAAGAAAATGGCCACTTGTTTCTATGTAGAGATCAAATTCAGAAGAACAAAGTGACCATCATTGGTTATAATAGTCTGCTTGAGATATGCTAAACTGACATCGACTACCCTGAAAAAATAAGCAGGATTCTGAATACATTGAAACTGAATAGGATGGATTTGTTGATAAATTCCATTCAAATTGGACCAATCACAAGTGTTTTGTGATCTGGAAAAAGGGTACTGGCTTGTATGTATTGAAGAAAATACACTGAATAATGTTCTGTTCAGTAGTCAGATCTATGGGCTGTTAACAATATTATTTATTTTGCTCAGACTAAGTGGTACCTGATGTTAATTTAATGCATGTCTCTCACTGAGGTCAGTTATTAGACAGATTTCCTTTGAATTCACTTGTAATCTACATCACACAAGCCAAGTGTTACAGCAAGAAAGAAATCTCAAATAAATATGGCTGTAGGATTTGAACAGAAGACAGGTAAGGTTGTATACTTTGGGATTTCTGTACCCTGAATTATATAATATATATAGTCTCAACTGAAGCCCAAATCCATCATTTCTGATTTTCCTACATGGTTCTAATGACTGAGGTGTAGGTCACAAAAGGAAACAGAGTCCACTGAAAAGAACAAGTGAGGCACACATGGCAGGCTTAGGAAAAACATGTACCTACTAGGAACTTACATTGTCAAGAAACTGAAGAAAGAACAACGCAGCCATATCGTTCAAGTTAATATCATGATAGAACTGAGAATTTTATGTATGACAGGAAAGAACGGGGATCTCTTTTACTGAAGATAAATAATATAAGGCAAAATATCAGTAAAAGCTACTTTGTTCACAAGAGACATATTTTGATTTCTCAGGCCATGCTCAGCTCCCGGGAGGGCCTACTATTAAAATGCATGTAGAACTATCAATGCACAACCAGCAATATAATACAGTACTCTCAAATATTTTAGGGAACTGGGGGAAGATACTCTCTTTTTAAATGCAAGATATTTTTGCTTCTTTTATGCAGCAGAGCATTCTTGCAACCTGAAACTGTAGAGTGATCCCAGGTCAAGTCTTTCTTCCAATTAACCCAAACTACATCATTTGATTATAAGCATTCTACAGACAGCATTTGACTTGAATCAAGTTCTCATTCTCTATCTGCAAAATTCTGTTTGGGGGTATTAAGTTATGTTTAGATAATATGTATACAGAAATGGCTGAAAGATTATTAATAACTATAATACATTTTGCATGATTTCATAGCCTTTTGCTCGCCAGGAAAATTATTGCAGCTAAGCAGACATTTCATAAATTCCAAACCCAAGAACAAGGTAAAAATATTTAAATACTTTACCAACATTAAAAGAAATATTTTCAGATTAACTCTTAGCATCAGTGGTGGGTATAACTACTATTGCTCCAGGCTGAACTTGTAAATAAATCATTTTTACTTGGTGAAAATGGGGAAAGGGGTGATTTTGCAATTCCAAAAGACAAATCTGAGAACTCCAATGAAGTTTTAAATGATTCATTCATGATTACTATGATTTCCTTTTTTATGATTTAAAAAATCAAATTGGCATATGTTTTAATAAAGATAAGATTTTACAAGCAATTCTTGTTCTACAAAAATATACATTAGATGTCTAGCACACGTTTGTATAGACACTACTTGTAAACATTTGATGTACTAAAACACTTAAACCAAACACTCAAAATAATCTTCATAACCATTAAATAAGATGAACTGAAAATTAAAAGGATTTTAATAGTGGAATAGGGGAAAATGGTACTATTAATTTTTCTCAGATGCTTTTAATTCTCTTGTTTGAGAAAATCAAAAGTAATATTTTCCACTATTATGAAATGCAAATTAAAAAACACAATTAATTCACTAAAACAGAAAAGTAGTCCAGGACCAACTGTATGGCTACCTGATCTACCATGGAAGTTGGAAGTTGTTCAAATTAATAGCTACCCTGAATATGTAGGCTTCAAATTTCAATAAAAAGTAATCAATTGACTTAGAAGAGTCCATAGGAGTACTTGCAGAAATCAGAGCATTTGCTCAGATACAATGCATAGAGTACAACCTCCACAATAAATGCAGAGCATAAATATATAAATGGTAAACATCCTGCCACTGCTATGAAGTGCTACTATGGAAACATGATATGAGATTCTATGTCATCATTAGTCAGTGCTACATGATATAATGATGCCCCTAGGAAAAAAACAAACACTTTCAGCAATTCTTAACATTTTTATAGCATCCTGAGAGCATAAAGCATACCTGTACTGGTAACTCAACCTATTTTAGAAAGTGTTTATTTTTTGACCAAAACGAATGCGTTCATACTATGACACACCTTCCAGAAACACATACGTTGTTCATAATTCTCCTTTTACTTTGACAGGTAGAATTCAGTCATCTTGGGAAAAACTTCTCAAGCTCCCCATTAGAGGAAGTGGTTTCCCACTACATCAATGAGTATTCAGTCATCCGTGTGTGTGTATACCAAAAAAAAAAAAAAAATCACACAGAATAAAAAGCAGCTTTAATCCTTTACATCGTTATAGGCTGCTCTCTTCATACCAGCCATAAAAAACAATGCCAGGATATAATTGCTTTGAATCACTATTACATCTTTGGCCCAGGAACAGGGCACTTGTATGAAAGAAGCAGATGTCTTTCAGTGTACACTTTTCTAGGAAAACAGATGAGAACATGATATGTACAGGTAACAGGAATAGCACAAAACAAATACTAGCATTTATTCTTGTCATTACAGCAGTAGAGAACAGTACAGTATTTAATATAAGATGTACTAATATTCCACAGCAGAAAATGACATAGCAAAGAAAATGATCTGAAAGCCATTGGGGGCAATTAAGATTCATCGCTATAAATCCAATCTTTGTTCTGAAATCACTTTAGGGCATAAATGGCTATAAATAAGAAATATGCACATGAAAAATGCTGAAATATAAAACTGAATCTACATTTTATGAAACACTTTATGCATATATTAAGTTCAGAGACTTAATAAGGAATGCCTTTTTTTTAAAAAAATGTAAAATTTAATTTAAACTAACTCAATGGTTATTCAACTATGAACTTTCTGATAGGAGGGTATACACAAAATGAAATAGAAACTGACGCCTTAGCTGTAATACCATTTCAAAGTCAGGAAAAAAAACTTTTTTTACATAGTTTTGCACTTTTCCCTGACTGCCTTTCCCAAACAACCTTCAACTTTAATACTTAAATTATAAAGAAGCTTACATCTTAAGAGTATTGTCTTAAGAATGCAAGCGAAATGTTTCTGCTTGCTTAGTCCAATTATCTTCAACCATGAGTTTAAGGCCCTTTTGTGCAAGGACTCTGTCCCAGTTCTCTGTTCCTGTAAAGCCAAATGCCTTTGCCTAAAGTATTTGAAACCCCAGAAACAGTGGTATTTTCTCAGAACAATGAGCAACGTGGTGTCTAGTTGGAACTCTGTCTCACCATTGGCCCCAACTCATTTTAGCAGGTCTCTCAAGGGGAAAGATGGCTTGACAGCTTTGCAGCTCTCACCTCATAGGGCCAATGATTATTTTGTGATCAGGTTGGCAAAAGAGAGAGATAAGGCTGTATACTCTCACCTTATTTATTCAATCTATATGCTGAATATATATCAAGGGAAGCTGGACTGGAAGAAGATGAGTGTGGTTTTAAAATGGGAGGAAGAAACTTCAATAACTTGTGCTATGCTGATGAAACTACTCTGATAACTGAATATGCAGCAATCTCCAAGCTCTAGTAATAACAGTCAAAGAATACAGTGAAAAAATGTGATTAATTTAAATATAAAGAAGACTAAGGACAACAGGTACAACAACCAGCTGTAAAACTGACATTGAAGATACTGAAGTGGTAGATAGCTTCTGCCTTTTAGAATCTACCACCATCAGTAAAGGAACAAGCAGTCAAGAAATATGCCACAGTCTAGCACTTGGTAGAGCAGCCATGAAGGCCTTGGAAAAAAATATGCAAATGCTATGATGTGTCTATACCTACAAAGAGCAGAATAATACAAGCAATGGTATTCCCTATGATACTCTATGGAAGCGAAAGTTGGACTTGAAGAAGCAGGATAGGAAGACTATTGACACTTTTGAACTTTGGTGTTGGAGAAGACTCCTGAGAATACTGTGGACAGCCAAGAAAACAATAAATGAATCACTGAATAAATCAACCTAGAGTTCTTACTCGAGGCACAAATGACCAGGCTCAAATTATTCTACTTCAGACATATTATGCAAAGACTAGCTATCTGGAGAAGATTTTCATGCTGGGAAATCTGGAAGGAAAGAAAAGAAGAGAATGACTAGCAGCAAGGTGGATGGACTCAGTTACAGTGGCGATGAGTGCACCACTGAAAGAACTGAAGGACCAGTTTTGGGACAGATTGTCATGGAGAAAATCTATCTATGTGGTTGCTACGGGTCAACACCGACTTGATGACCAGACCAATGCACACAACATAAATATGGCTTGGGGAGTGATGGAAGCTATTTTTTTCATTTACTATTTATGTGGAATTTTTGTACCTGTGGTAATTAAATTAAGTTCTTTGCTCCTGAATCTCATTCTGTTGAGTTTGACACAAGTGAAGACAACTGTGAATCATTTTTAAGTTGCATTAGTGTTATTGGGAAGTGGAAAAAGAAGTGGTATGACAAACCCCTACTTGGCTGGGAGGTTATATGACAAAAAAGGAGAACTAAAATCGA